CAGGCAAGGTGAAACAGCAACACATCTTTACATACTTAAACAAATGCATGATAAACAAATGTAGCACACATTTATGTAGTTAAAGTAATATTCCACAACAAGAAGGTGTGATCCCTTTTATATCTAATTTGTGCTTTGAGCTGGGTGTCAGCATTTCAAGCAGAGAAGAATCAAGATGGAAAACAAGTGAATGTTAGGTCTTCTCACAGCCACTAGATTGAAATAGTAACAAGCATCTGAACAAGTTTCCCCACCTCCGATGTCAATGACCCCAGTGAAGGTAGCTCTGGGTTCCATTCTTTAAAACCATGAATTGATGAAAAAATTATGAGCATATCAGTCCTTTTCCTGGAGTAAAAAGAAGACCCTGAAGTTGTGCTATGTATGAATAATAAATCAGGAAAAAAGTGTTCAATGGTTTGTGCCCCTAGGTACAGTGCCCCTTTTATGCATCTCTTGGGGACTGCTTATTTAGTCATTTTTGCAGTAGAGAAGGGAAAGGGAAAGTCAGCTGTTGCAATATTTTGGCTGAACAAAGTTTGAAGGAAAAAAAGGTTACACTGTTCAGGATTACCCTATCTATAATATTTTGATTTGGGGAATCATATTTCGAGCCAGAGTGAGAACTAAAGAACCAAGAGAAGGACAAAGGGAAGGAAGGAGAAAGGGAAAGAAGGAGAAAGGGAGGAATGGAGGGAGGGATGGAGGGAGGAGGGAGGGATGGATGGAGGGAGAGAGGCAAGGAGGGAATGAAAATGTTGACGCTTTTTATAGAAATTATATTTTTTGTATAATAAACTCACCCAGAAAAATCTCTCTCTCTCTCTCTCTCTCTCTCTCTCTCTCTCTCTCTCTTTAAAATTCATTTTTAGTTATATGTGTCTAAGTGTTTGCCTATATGAATGTATGTGTACCGTGTGTGTGATTGGCACCCTGCAGGGCTAGAAGAGGGCGTCAGATCCCCTGGAATTGGAGTTACAGCAGTTGTGAGCCATTAAGTAGGTGCTGAGAGTTGAACTTGGGTCCTCTGAAAGAGCAGCAAATGCTCTTCTCTGTTGAACCATCTCTCCAGTTCCTAGAACTCCTCATAGAGTCCAGGTTGGCTTCAAGTTCACAGAAAGCTTCGTCTGCCTCAAAACCACTAGGATTACAGATATAAATACCTATGACTTTCCTAACTCCTTCAAGAATTGCAAGAGCCTTTGTTGACCATCTACACAATGCTGCCTTATCTGTGTTCTGTCCCACCTGTGCAGTCATAGAAGCGATCCCATTGACCCATAACACCAGATCCCACACTGCAGAGAATGAGTCTCCAGGGGGCACTCTTAAGAAAGAGAAGTAGAGGTGTGCCTTTAATACCAGCACTGAGAAGGTAGGGGCCGGGTGAATCTCTGTGAGTTCAAAACCAATCAGATCTACATAGTGAGTTCCAGGACACCTAGAGCTACACAGAGAAACCTTATCTCAAAAAAAAAAAAAGAAAGAAAGAAAGAAGGAGGAGAAGGAGGAGGAGGAGGAAGAGGAAAGAAAGGAAGAAAGAGAAAGAATTGGATATTGAAAAGATAAAAAAGAAATACCCACTACAGAAAGCATAAAGAAAGCCTAAATATTGGTTGGTTTGAGAGAAGAGCTGAGGAAATTAGAATAAAATATTATTCTGAAATGTTTCAGTATCAATAACATCAAACATCCATGCATTCATGACCAGAACTGGAGAAATGTGTGGTAGATTCAGTTATAATTTCAAGTCCTTGTCTCCTGTATGCCTTTTCTTGTTTTCTTTCTTTATTTTTAATTTTTTTATTTATGTACGTTGGTGTTTTGCCTGCAATTATGTCTGTACGAGGGTGTCAGATTCCCTGGAAGTGGATGAAGTTACAGACAGCTGTGAGCTGCCATGTGGGTGTTAAGAACTGAACCCTGGTCCTTTGGAAGAGCAGTCAGTGCTCTAACTGCTGAGCCATCTCTCCAGCCCACTGTTTCCCCCTCCCTCCCTCCCTCCCTCCCTCCCTCCCTCCCTCCCTCCCTCCCTCCCTCCCTCCTAACTTTCTTTCCCCCTCCTCTTCCTTCTCCTTTTTATTTGTTCTTGAGACAGAGGCTCACTGTGTCTGGTCTGGAATTCACTAAGTATACCAGGCTGACCTGGAACTCACAGAAATCAGCCTGTCCTGGCTCCTGAGTGCTGGATTGAGGATTTGTACTGCAACAGCCAGCAACTTCGTGATTTTTAAGTAATTTCAAGTGTTCAGGGGAGGTTTAAGAATCATAGAAAGAAGCACTTTTTTGTTGTTGTTTTGCTTTTTTTTTTTTTTTTTTTTTTTACCAGAGTGGCCAGGTTTTAACACTTGGCATCATTTGCTCTTCTTTTCCCTCAGAAGGTTCAGATTCAGGAAGAAGACAATGGGTTGGTTTGAGAGCAAGTGATAAGGCTGCAAATAGCAAGCTGAGCTATGCTGAGATTCAAGAAAACACTAGTCACTCACCAGAAAACACTACTCACCAGAAAACACTACTCAGAATAAAACACTATTCACAAGAAAACACTACTCACCAGAAAACACTACTCACAAGATAACACTACTCAGAATAAAACACTATTCACAAGAAAACACTACTCAGAATAAAACACTATTCACAAGAAAACACTACTCAGAATAAAACACTATTCACAAGAAAACACTACTCACCAGAAAACACTACTCACAAGAAAACACTACTCACAAGATAACACTACTCACAAGCATTCACATTTTAAGCAAAAACAAGACAGCACTCAGCTGAGGACAGGACTTTCGGGGAAAAGAGTTCTGGAAGATAAAAGTCTAAACCCAATAAAAAGGCACGGTCTGTGAATGGCAATTCTTTTATGTCTCACTCCATTTTAGTGGGCAAAAAGATAGGTCTCATCCATGTAAGCAAGCACTGTATCACTGAACTTCACCTCCAGTTCCCTTCTTATTTCATGATCGAGAGATACTTTAGAATATGGCCATCTCATTGCTGTGACAAATACCCTGGCCAAACACAGCTTAAGAAAGGCAGAGGGTTTTTTGTTTTGTTTTGTTTTTTAAGATTTATTTATTATGTATACAATATTCTACTTGCATTCATATCTGCATGCCAGAAGAGGGCACCAGATCTCACTATAGATGGTTGTGAACCACCATGTGGTTGCTGGGAATTGAACTCAGGACCTCTGGAAGAACACCTAGTGTTCTTAACCTCTGAGCCATGTCTCCAGCCCAAGACAGATCTTTTAGCTCACAGTTCAGGGTAGAGTTCAGCATGATGAGGAAGTCACGGTAACAGGAGCCAAGGCAGCTGGTCCCACTGAATTAGCAGCCAGGAAGCAGAGAACAGTGAGTGTTAGCGCACAGCTCCTTCTCTCCTTTTTATTACGTCTAGGACCCCAGCCCACAGAATGGTGCTGCCCACATTCAAGGCGGGTTCTCCCATCTCACGTAATACTTCACAGGCACGCCTGTGTCTCTCATGTGATACTAGACTCTGTCAAGTTGACAATAGCAACCATCATGTGGTCCTCTCCTAGTTCAGCCTTGATTGCCAATTTGACGCAGCCAGAAAGAAAAGCCTGGATTGAGGAATTACTGACCTCAGCTTGGTCTGTAGGAGATCATCTTGATTATTTATTGATGCAGCAGGACTCAGCCCACTGTGGGTGGCGCTGTCCCTAGGCAGGTGAGCCTGAGCTGTATAAGAAAGCTAGTTAAGTGTGAGCCTAGGAGCCAGCCAGCAAGCTGTGTTAGCTCCATGGTTTCTGCTTCAAGTTCCTACTTGAGTTCCTGGTCTGCCTTCCTTCAGTGTTGACCTGTGACCTGGAAATGGAAGCCAAATAAGCCCTTTCCCTCACCTTTAGCCAGAGTGTGTATTACAGCACCAGGGAGCCAACAAGAACAGGATCTGTCCTGGGAAATTACAGATACTGAAAATTTACCAATATGACTTGTAACGTTTATATTCCAGTTATTGCTACACACTAACAAACCATCCTGAAACTCAGTGGCATAAAACAATTGTTTCATTATGCTTACAGATTTTGTGTTAGGAATTCAGGTAGGAGACAATGGGATGACTTCTCTTTGCTCTGATACACAGAAGGCTTAGAGAAAGATACACGGGCCAGGTATGTTTATGAGGACATATCTGGGGCTGGAATCACTGAATACATCTTCACACATGTCTTGCAGATGAGAGTGGCCATTAGCTGGGTCACCTTACAACTAGTGGGCTAATTTGTGTTTTCTCAGAGTATCCAAGTGAGTTCCCACAGTATCCCAAGAAACCAACATGAAACACTTTGCGTTTGTGTCATCTAACCTCAAGCTTTACATAGTATTATTTCCCTGAAATCTGCTGCTTGATGCAATCATAAATGTTTGCTCAGGTTTAGGGGGAAAAGGACATAAACTCCATCCTCCTGTTAAGGTCAACTTGTGAAGAGAACACTGGGACATACCATACTGTTTCAGCCGCTTTTAGAAGATACAGTCTGCAACGATTCATGTATATGCATGTAAAGGGAAAGTTGGCGTCTGAATTGCTTTGCTGTTTTTGGTACTTGTAAAGTCTTCTCATGTGTGAGGTTTAAAGTAGGGTTTTACCTCTTGTTTATGCTTTCTCTACTAGGAATTATTTTCCAATAATTTCTTAGACGTATAGGACTTACAGTAGTCTTTTGAGTTTCTCTTATATATTTATTTAAATTTATCTACCTTATGTACATGAGTGTTTTGTCTGCATGTTTGTCTGTGTGCCACATGCCTGGTGCCTGAGGAAGTCAGAAGAAGACATCAGATCCCCTGGAAGAGAGTTACCAAGAGTTGAGAGCCATCATGTGGGTACTGGGCATCAAACCCAGGTCCTCTCAACCACTGAACAGTCTTCCCAGCCCTCTGATTTTCAGTATTTCAATTAATGTGATGCTCTCACACATGCAATATAATAATGTGTCAATTTTCTAAATATCTTTTGGCCAGGCGAACAGCAGCGAGCCTGGGATTCCAGAGCACCCGTCACTGGGCAACAGCTCTGCCATTGAGGATGCTGTCTCCTGCATCTCATTAAGGTAAAATATGACGCTGGGGGTGTAGCTCCATGGCAGAGCACTTGTCAACATGCACATGGCTCTAGGTTCAATCCCTGGCACTGAAAAAAGAAGATGGTTTCAACAGATATTTTCATAGTGAAAAATAGTATTTTTTGTCACTTCATCAGCATCTCTGTATTCATTCCAGCATAACTGGGACAATGCAGAGTTTAGGGTGACCATAGCAGAAGGATGACATGCAAATCTGTGAAGCAGTCCATATATTCTTTCCCAAAAAGTAAAACAAAATATAAAAGAAAGAAAAAACAAAACTACCAGAAAAAACAAACAAACAAACAAACAAACAAAAATCAGATCCAGGGCCTCACTGGGAGTTTTAAAATGAGTTTCCTTCCCATACCTGGCCTGAATGTTAGGAATGTTGGAAACTTGCTTGCATCTTTAAAAGAAACATTTATCCTTTTCTTCATTACCAAAGGTCTTGTCCCTTACTTTTTTTTAAGTATAAGAAGAGATTCAGAAAATGCTGTGATGTTTGCTTAACAAGTGAAAATCCCATGTTTAAGTTCTTTAATACCCTGGTCCTTTTTCACTGTGTCTTCAGGGGCTGGTTTCCCAGCTGTAAAATTACTCGAGAAACCTCTTAAGCCTGGACCTGCTGACGGTATTTGAACTTCTGTACATGCACTTTGATCTCTGCCTAGGATACATCCACTCTGACAGCTCGGTACACTCACCCAGAGCTGGCTAAAACCAGTGATGTGTGTCTAGAGATCTCAGGCTGCTCACCAGCCAGCTTCTGTGCTACTCTCAGTCTCTTCTTCAAATCCTTTTAGCAGGCCAGCAACAAAATGTTTCTCCTAAGAGGCAAGCAATTTGTCTGCTTGGACAGCCTATCAATTAAGATGGCAGAAAAGACATTGATTATATAGTAAGGACAGTTTCCAGGGAAAGGCATTTGGGGAAGTGAACATGTATCATTTTAAAACAGTAGATTTTATGGGCTGTATCTCAGTTAAAAGTGCTTTAGATGAAGAGCAGTAGCTCAGAGCTAACCTATGTTACTGTGTCTAGCGCCACCACAATGGAAAGACTATATGGAAATACATATCAGTTATGGTTAATTTAGCTATATGTGCTAAAATAGTTAGAAACCAAGATAACTAACATTGGCTTCAAGTTTGGAGGGGAGAGGCTTATTTCCCAACTGACCAGGTACATCCATGCTCGTCAAGGATCTAAGTGTTTCTTTCTTGGATGCCTTACTCACTTTTATGTAGTACGTAGGCTCACAGGTTAAAATGCTTAAGTACCAGCTACTGGTTCATCTTTCTAGTCAGCAAAGGAAACATTTGTTCTCTCCACTTATGGGCATCTCCAGAAGCTTAATTCAAACATGAGCGAATGCCTCACATTCTAGGGTTTATTCCTCTAGCTGCAGTAGGTTGCAGGAAAGCTTTCTTCTTCTTGACCATGTCTCTAGCTAAAAATTCTGTGACTATGGTTAGAGAGCATGCGCCTCCTCTAAATTCTCACGTGAGAAGCTCAGTCCCCAGTGCAGCCACATTGGCAGGTGGGTCCAAGGGGTGTTTAGCAACTACAGGTTTAGCTCTGACAAATGGATTAAAGCTATGAAAAGAACTTGCAGAAGTGGCCACTTTTGCTTTTCTGATGCTTGAGAAACAGCACTCCCTTGGTGGTCACAGCCTTCAGGGCATCATCTGTGGAGACTGTGTCCTTGGAAGACATTAACCTGCTGCCTTTGTCTTGAACGTCTCAGCCTAAAAAACTGAAAGAGAACTTTTTTTTAAATAAATCATCCAAGCATGCATTCCGCTATTTGTAGCACAAATGAACACAGAGGAACTAATAGCATTCCTTAACATAAAATAAAGTTTCATTTGGAAAAGAATGCGTGATCTAAAAACAAAACAAAAAGACATATCTAGAGTATGTTTGGCACTTTGGTGGTTTAAGATAAGAGTCTTGAATTGAAAAATGTTTATATTGAATATAAAGAGTAAAATAAACTGATCTTCAGGATTTGTTTTATATTATCTCTGCAAAGAAAAGGGGAACATGTAAGAAGCATGCCCCAGTTTCTACTGCCTATCTACATAGACATGCATACATAATCTCTATCATCTATCTACATGTACATGCATACATAATCTCTATCATCTAGCTACATATACATGCATATATGTCTTCAATAGTCAGGATCAGCATTTTTCTCTTCTAGAGCAGACAGTATACTAGGTAAGTATGCAGGAACCCTGGGTTTCAAAAAAAAAAATCAGGGCTGGAGAGATGGCTCAGTAGTTAAGAGCACTGTCTGCTCTTCCAAAGGACCTAGGTTTAATTCCCAGCACCTACATGACAGCTAACAACTACCTGTAATTCTAACTGTTCTTAATAATAAGATTCCAGAGTCAGATATTAGGGGGTGAAAGCTGAAAGAAGTAATGGAGCAAAGCACAGTCAACTCCTCAGCCTCAAAAGGGGGCGAGCTCCTATCTCCTCCTAATTTATATTCCTCTCTCTGCCCAGCCATATCACTTCCTGTTTCCTCCTTCCTAGTGCTGGGATTAAAGAAGGCCTGTGCCACCCAGGTACTGGGACCAAAGGCATGAGATCTCTAGTGCTGGGTTTAAAGGTGTGAACCACCACTGCCTGGCCTCTATGGCTAACTAATGGCTAGTTCCATGCTCTGATCTCCAGGCAAGCTTTATTTATTAGAGCACTAACAAAATATCAGCACACCTGTGTATGTGTCTGTGTCAGATCCACTGGAGCTGGAGTTATAGACAGATGTGAGCTGCCGTTATGGGTGCTGGGAATTGAACCTGGGTCCTCTGAAGGAGGAGCCAATACTTTTTACTGCTCAGTCATCTCTCCATCCCCAAAGTTCATTCATTTACTTACCTATTTATCTACTTATTTATTCTTTTTTTTTTTTTTTTTGGCTTTTTGTGACAGGGTTTCTCTCTGTAGACCTGGCCAGCCTGGTACTTGCTCTGTATACCAGGTTGACTTCAAACTCAGATTCTCTGTCCTCTGCCTCCTAAGTACTGGAATTAAAGCTCTGTGCCACCACAGCTCAGCATTCTTTTGATATTTTTTAACATCTATGCCATTCTTTTGATATTTTTAACATCTGAGTTTCTTCAAGTGTAGATTACTGATGGTTGGGGGTGGAGAGATGGCTCAATGGTTAAGAGCTCTTAATGCCCTTCCAGAGGACTGGTGTTTGGTTTCCAGCATCCACCTCAAACAGCTCACAAGGGCCTGAGCCTCCAGCTCCAGGAGATCCAATGACCTCTTCTGTCTCCACAGGTGCCTGTGCTCTCATGGGCACACATTCCACCCATCCCCATAAACAGACACACACACACACACACACACACACACACACACACACACACTTAAAAAAATACAAATGATAAGATGAAGATAATTTGTCCTAACCAGTTAACAGCCTTCCAGTGAAGCTTGAGTATAAAACTGCCTGTGAGATGGTATAGCATGATATCAGATATTTTCAATAATGCGGCCATTTTTATTCACAGAATGTGAGCGAGACCCTGTCTCGTGGTTTATTATTGTATCTCCAATGATTAGTAAAATGCTTGGCAAATAGTAGACTAGAAATAAATGATTGGTGACCAAAGCAAAGTTAGGAGACAGAAATCTGAAACTGAGGCAGGCTCACGAGGATAGAAGTGGTCGGATGATTACCCAGCAACCTCATGTCACCCATGAGGAAACTTAGTGACAGAGCAAACACACAGCTAACCTAAATGCCAGAATGGGAATGGCAAAAGCATCTTCATCTTCAGAACCACAAGAGAAACACCAGCACCCCAGAGAGAACATCCTTCTCTTTTTAGTTACCTTTCGGAAAATATGTTGCAATATAATCACACCATTTCTTTTCAGAATCCCAAGGAACAGCACATTTTCTTGCAGTACTCAGATTTTGTTCTATTAACTACTGTTTCCAAATAGGAGGCTAACCAGTGGGGACTCGGATCCTTTTGTCAAGCTAACATTTTGGTTCTAATGGTCTCAATTATGAAAACTGGTTCTGTCGATGGAACTACAATTACTTGCAATCATTTCTTTAAAAATTCTCATAATACCGTTACATAATTTTTGTGCCCAAGAGCTGTTTATTCTGTTTAAGTATTTCATAGGAAATCTACTTGAACGAGTACCTGAGTCAAGTTAACAATGTTCTGACACAAAAAGGGTTACATTTACATATGAATGTGACTTTGATGGACGGGATCTGTGGGATCAGCAGTCCTCAGGAAACTCACACAGAGCAGTCAGCCTGGTCTAGTGACTTAGCTCAGTGATAGAGTGCCTGCCTAGCATAGGCGAAGCCCGGATTCAGTCCCCCAGTGTCACAAATAAGACAGCATTAGCTAGCCAAGTTTCCACGTCAGAAATTATTAGCCATTTGCCCTACTTCTTAGCACACAAAACATTTCTTTTCCCTCACAAGTTTATAGGTCATTGTTGTGGTTTAAATACAAATATCTCCCTAGTCCCATATGTTTGATTGATCCTTGGTCTCCAGCTAGTGGCACTGTTTGGAAGGTTGCAAAAGCTTCAGAAGGTGGGGCATTACTGGGGTAAGTGAGTTGTAACAGGCCTTGAGGGTTTCTAGCCTAGCCCTACTCCTGCTTGCTCTGCTTCCTGACAGTGACCTTAGGTTCCTGTGACTTTAGGTTCCTGCTGCCATGCTCTCCTATTCAGTAGATTTAATACTCTTAAACTATACGCCAACTGTTCCCCTTTAAGTTGCTTTTTATCGTGTGTTTGACCATAGTAACAAAACACGTAACTAAAACAGAAAATTAGTACCAGGAGTGGGGACATTGCTTCCATAAACCCAGCCACCACATGGCTTGTAGGCTTTAGGACCTGGTTTGAAGAAAGAATGTAGAGTAGTTTGGAACTTTGAGCTAGGAGAGCCTGAGAATTCTATAAGCCTAGTTTCATGGTTTATGGTGGTGTAGTTTGGAAGGCCAGGGTGCTTAGAACAACAAGGACAGTGGTATCCCAACTATGAAGTTTTAGGAGGCATAAGGACTCCGTTGGGAACCAGGATAGAAGCTGTTCACATTACATTCTGTCAAAGAATGTGTCTGGAAACACTCACTCTGCCACAGTCTGGAAAACTTGAGTGAGGTTGAATTAAAAAAAAATAATGGACCTCTTTGTCTGGAAAAGGAAATTTCAAAATGGGTTGGCATGGCTACTCCTCAATGCTCTTATCCAGGTCTGTAGGGAGAAAAATCAGCAAGTAAAGCAGAAAGATAGAACTCTTTAGTTTGGAGAAGAGAGGAATGGTTTAAAGTTGCAGGCCAGGTGAGTGTGAAAGCAGCTACATTTGCTAAAGGGATTATCAGCCTCACTGAAGAGAAGCCAAGCCTTACTGCAGAAGTATTTCCCCAGAATAGACAGACACAGAGGACACTGCACTGTAGCTATGATAGAACGGGGCCAGTCTGCACCTCAGACTGACAGCAGAACTTGACAGCAGTGTTCACACGACACTCTGTGCAGGAATGCTAAGTGCAAGAGTGAGGGGGACGTAAGCGTTTTGTATCAGGTTCCATAAAGCTATTAAGTCCTAGCAATGTGTGCTGGGTCCGCATCTCCTACAAAGACGCTCTGAGAAGTCATTGAATAGAACTGAAGCCCAGGTCGCCGTGGAGACTTCAGGGTGTTGGAGATGGCAGGACCATGAGATGTCTGCAGAGAAAAGCATAGGTACTGAATGGACCTGGCCAAGAAAAAGGCTGTGTGTGCCAAAGGCAACAGAACTGGAGAGGTAGGGTTGTTGGAATCTAGATGGTTCTGTCAGGAGTCCCAGGGTTGGAAATGGAGTTACAGAGTTTGGTGTCTGCCCTGCTGGTTTTCAGTCATGATTGGTCCAGTCTTTTCTTGTGTGCCTCCATATTGGATTCTGAAGCTGGAGGTTTCTGTCCTGATAGGTCTTGAAGCCCCTTCAGCTCCAAAGCACGCAGAGACATATTGATTGTTAAACTGTTGTCTGACGGCCAGGGCTAGCTCCCTTTTAATTATTAACCCATAACTACGAATCTATGTATTTTCTCTTGGTCTTGGCTTACTGGAGAATGCCTGGACCTGTTACTCCTTTGGTGGCTACCTGGTGTCTCTTGCTGCCACTCTCTCCTCTCTCCCCAGCATTCTCCTCAGCTCCTAGTCCCGCCTATCTTCCTGCCTCTACTGGCCAATCAGTGTTTTATTCATCAACTATAAGAGAGACATATACAGAAGGACATCCCCCATCAGTATTCTTCCCTTTTAGAACGAGAATGATTACTCTGTGCTGTTTTATATCGGAAGACTATGACTTTTTTTTTTTAAGTATTTTAGGGGCTAGCAGTTAAGAGACTGCCATGAGTCTCAGAAAAGACTTAAGTCTCTTAACAGTGTTGGGACTATTAAAGATAATGGGGACTTATGACGATTGAATAAATGCATTTTTCTCTATGAGATGTTTGTTAGCCTGTGGCAGGGAAGGAAAGAATGTTCTGGTTTGCACATGAGATGTCCTGCATAGGCTCATGTATTTGAACACTTGATTCTCAGCTGATGACACTGTTTTGGGAGGGTGTGGAACATTTAGGAGACCAAGCCTCCATGGAGGACATTGATCATTGGGGGGTGGGGCTTAAGCTCAGCCCACTTCCTGTCTGCTCTCTGCATCCTGACAGCAGGGGCAAAGTAAGCAGCTCCTCACAGCCCCACCACTAGGCCACCACTGCTTGATGGACTGTGCGCTCTCAAACTGTGAGTTGAAGTTGGAGTACTCCCTCCTTACATTGCATTCTGTCAGCAAAAAGGAAAATACCTGTACTGGCTGGTTTCATGTTACCTCAACAAAAGCTAGTGTCATTTGAGAAGAGGAAATTGAGAAAATGCCCTTATCAAGCCGGGCGTTGGTGGCTCATGCCTTTAATCCCAGCACTCTGGAGGCAGAGGCAGGCGGATCTCTGTGAGTTCGAGGCCAGCCTGGTCTACAGAGTGAGTTCCAGGACAGCCTCCAAAGCCACAGAGAAACCCTGTCTCAAAAAACCAAAAAAAAAAAAAAAATTGGCCTGCGGGAAAATTTGTGGTGCATTTTCTTGATTGGTGATAGATATGGGCAGTACCACCCCGGGATCATGGCTCTAGGTGCTGTAAGAAAGCAGACTGGGCAAGCTATGGGGAGCAAGTCAATAAGTAGCTCTCCTCCATGCCCTCTGCATCCGCTCCTGCCTCTGGGTCCTTGCCTTGTTTGAATTCCTGCCAGACTTCCCTCAGTGATGAACTGAGTGGAAATAAACCCTTTCCTCCCCAAGTTGATTCTGGTCATGGTGTTCCATCACAGAAATGGAAATATTAACACAAAAGTTGGTACCAGGTTGGGAGGACTATGGTAGTAGCATCTGCACCTTGGGCTGGAAGAGATGTTGAGTGCTCAGAGCTCAGTGGTCTGTTCTGTGGGAGTCTGGAAGATAAGACTGCTGAGATGAGCCCAGACTGCGGAGGCCTTGCTGAAGAAGCTTCTGAGGGAAGCGTTCGTGTGATATTTTTAATTAAGAACCACTGAAGTGAAACTTTTGCTTTTCTGGGACAATTGATACTGGTCAGCTGTAGCTGAAGAATTGGACGTGATTTAAAAAGAGAACCGAATCATTGAGGGGGAAAAAAATCTTCTGGGACGTGTTTCCTGAGAAGCTGTGTTCCAGAAAGGGCTCAGGGCTGTATCTTGTGCTGGTAGCCAAACTTCGGATGTGCAAGAGTCTCCCAGGTGTTACTGGTTTGGAGGGCAGGGAGGGGTCATGGAAAGCAGCTGAGGTGTGGCACCTGGAGAGGATAGGTGGAACTTTAGGTGACTATGCAGCCTCAGTTGAAGTAGAAGCTCTAGGACCGAAGGGGTTGAGGACAGAAGTTGAGGTTTGACACCACCATGTGGTAGAGCCAAATGAGGCTACTGGTGAAGGTGAAGTAGGAGATCCCAGTGTGTTCCAGATGCCAGTGCCCTGGTATGACCACCAAGAAGAGTTGCAGGTGTGGAGTGGAGCCAGCCTGAGCCTATGAAATGCCAGGTGTGCCGCAACAAAGCGGTGGGAGACCAGAAGACTGGTAGTCCCAGGAGTGTGGCAAGGAACTGTTGCTCTTCGGTTTTGCTTTAACTTTAATGTAACTATGCCCTCTTGGAATAAGAAAGGATGTAACTCATTTGTTATTTTACAGGACTCAATAGTTAAGGGATTTTGAAACGTTAGAGAAACTTGGAATTTCAGAGAGGCATTGACTGTTTGAAGATACTTTGGATTTTTAAAAGAGACTTTTATTTAAAGTTTGGAATCTATTTTATATTGGGATATTGATCTGACAGCTGGGGAACCAGCATATGACCGAACCAGGCCCCCTGAACATGGGTGTCAGTTGGGAGGCCAGGGCAATCTATGGGGTCTCTGGCAGTAGAACCAGTATTTATCCCTAGTGCACAGACTTTGGTAGCCCATTCCCTATGGAGGGATACTCTTTCAGCCTAGATACATGGGGGAGCACCTAGGCCCTGCCCCAAATGATGTGACAAGACTTTGATGATTCCCCATAGGAGGCCACACCCTCTCTGGGGAGTGGATGGGAGGGGATGGGATGGGGGTCAGTGGGGGGCTTGGGAGGACAGGAGGGGGAGGGAACTGGGATTGGTATGTAAAATAAGGTTGTTTTTAATTTAAATATACAAAAGTTTTTTTTAAAAAAAAAAGCAGGTTGAGCAGGCTATGAGGATCAAGCCAGTCAGCAGTCAGCAGTGCTCCAGTCAGCAGTGCTCCTCCGTGGCCTCAGCTTCAGTTCCTGCCTTCCGATTCCTGCCTTGACTTCCCTTCATGACTGGTTGTGATGGAACCTCTAAGCTGAAATAAACCCTTTCTTCTCAAAGTTGCTTTTTGTCATGGTGCTTCATCGCAGCAATAGAAATGCTAACCGAGACATTTTCTAATGTGGCGCATTAAGCAGCTGGTTGATCTCAGCTAGGTTCGCTTGCATCTGTCCGACCTGTAGCCGAGTTTTCAGTAGCTCCCTGTTATATCTGCAACTTCACATTGTCATTTCCATTGACATTCCAGTTGTTTGTTTTTTAACTTCTGTAGGAATTTTCCACTGAGCTTTTCAGAGAGCAGTCTAGGATTCTCTGTCCTATGACTTCAAACTCCCCCATATTCCTCCTGCAAACCATTCCAAGGGCCTAAGAATCCATAGTCGGGGTTAGCAGCAGCAGCGGCTCTATTTGTGGTACTAATTTTCTCTCCTAGTTACTAGTTACTGTCACATTGCTCTGACCAGAATTCCTGACACGGACAACTGAAGGGAGAAGAATGTGTTAGTCACCCTCCTACGGCCGTGATGAGGCAGCACAAGTAAGGCAGTGTGTGGAAGGGAGGGTTTATGCGGACTTTCGGCTCCTGAGAGATGACAGCCATCACTGTTACTGTGGGGGAACCTTGCAATGGGCAGGCATAGTGACTGGAACAGAAAGCTGAGAGCTCACACCTTAAACCACAAGCAAGAAACAGAGGGCAAACTGGGAGTGGAGAGTCTTTAAGCTCTCCAAGCTCGCCTCAGTGACATACTTCAACCTGCAAGCTCACACCTCCTAAACTACCCAGACAATGCCGCCAACTGGAGACCAAGTATTCAAATGCCAGAGACTAGGAGGACGTGGCACCACTGAAAGGCTTCCTTTGGATTATGTTTTCTGAGGGCTTCAGTTCCTCACGGTAGAGAAGGCGGGACAGACAGCTCAGTTCATGGTGGTGGGAGCAGGTGGCAGCGGTTGCCACATCATAGCAGATTGGGGAGCATAGAGCACAATAGCAAACAGGGCCTGGGCATCGTTTTCAAAGTTCTGACTCGCATGACTACTTCTGTCAGCCAAGCTCTACCTCCTAAAGGTCCTACAGCCGCTCCAAACAGCACCATAAAGCAGGGATCAAATGTGGAAAACATGAACACCTCAGATTCAAACTATAAAACACACATTGAAGGCTGCATTTAGTTTTCTATCACAGAAAATAGCAGAATGTTAAAGCAAGTTCAAAAAGAGTCCAAAGAGCAAGCACGTATAACAGCAGTTAATAATGCCAAAGTGAGCCAGGTGTGGATGGGCAAGTCTGTGATGCCAGTATTTACGAGACTGAGACAGGAGGATTACCATGTGTTCAAGGCAAGCCTGAGCTATATGGTGAGTTCCTGACTAGCCTGAGTAAGACCCTGCCTCAAAACAACTGAGCAATTAACAAATGATCAAACAAACAATGCTGAAATCAAACTGGACTCAGTATGTCTTAATTGACCAATAGCAACTTGGGAAGGAAAGGGCTATGTTTGCCTTACACTTACACATCACTGTTTGTCATTGAAGAAGTCAGGACAGGAACTCAAACAGGGCAGGAACTGACATGGAGGCCATGGAGGGGTGCTGCTTAGGTTTGCTCTTCATGACTTGTTCAGCACACTTTCTTGTAGAATCTGGGACCATCTGCCCAGGGATAGCCCTGCCCACAATGGGCTGGGTCCTCCCACATCAAACACTTGATAAGAAAAGGGGCGTTGGTAGCGCATGCCTTTAGTCCCAGCAGAGGCAGAGGCAGGTGGATCTCAGAGTTCAAGGTCAGCCTGATCTACAGAGTGAGTTCCAGGACAGCCAGGGCTGCAAAGCGAAACCCTGTCTTGAAACCCCCTACACACACACACACACACACACACACACACACACACACACACACACACACACACACACGAAAGAAAGAAAAGAAAATGCCTACAGTTTAATCTTATGGAGATACTTTCTCACCTGAGGCGCCCCCACCCCCCACCCCCCCACATCCCCCCACCCCCCTCTTCAGCAACTCTAGCTTGTGTCAAGTTGACACAAAACTAGCCAGCACATGGTGCTACCCAGGTCCCAAAACTCAGGAGCTGAGGCAAGAGGTTGGAGAGTACAAGGCCACCCTGGGCTGCATATGGAGGTTAGGGCCAGCCTACAGGACATAGTAACACTGTCTCAAAAACAAAGGAAAGTGAGACAAAGGATGTTCTGGTAAATTGTCTAAGGATGAAAAACTGGTCGAAATTTGACATTTTTGCCACAGAATGGCCATCAACTGCATCGTTGGCCAACACATTTATTATAATGCCTGTTAAGGTTAATTTATGTTACATAGGTCTATGTAGTATCAGTTTTGATGAATACCACAGACTCATGTCTAGCTAGATAACCCCAAAGGATCACACAGATCACCACTGAGCATACATCCTGTAATTTACACATGTCAAAAATTTCGTGGTAATCACTTGTGATTTTTTTCAACTCTGTGTTTGAATCCAAAGTTTCCCAAATATGGTTCAGATGACATTGATGTCACTGCAGATGATTTCAGATGACATAGATGACCTTTACTCTCAATCATGGCATTTTTATTTTATTGTACAGCATGAACAGAATTGTGTTAAAAAATCCTTACTTCACAGATACTGTTATTTTTATTTCTTTTTTTTTTTTTTTTTTTTTTTTTTTGGTTTTTCGAGACAGGGTTTCTCTGTATTGTTTTCGAGGCTGTCGGTCCAGCCTGGCCGCGAACTCACAGAGATCTGCCTGCCTCTGCCTCCCGAGTGCTGGGATTAAAGGCGTGCGCCACCACCGCCCGGCTGTTATTTTTATTTCATAGCTACATATATCGCTATGAATTGCAGGACATGGTACATAGGAGATGATTGTATGCTTTTGTAGGAAGGAAAAATTACATACAAAGAAACATGAATGGAGATGAGGGAGATCACTCAAAGTGTTTGCCATGTAAGCATTTGAGCTTAAGAACCAAAGTAAAAAAAGGCAGGCATGGTGGCCAGTGTTTGTGATCCCAGTGCTGAGGGACAGAAACAGACAGATAGGTCCCTGGGGCTCAGAGGCTAGCCAGCCTAACCTACTGGGTGAGCTCCAGGCCATGTCAGAGACCCTGTCTCAAAAAAACAAGGTAGACACTACCAGAGGAATGACACACGAGGTTAACTTCTCCCCTAGCTCTACATACATACTTATACAGGTGCGTGCACGCGCGCACGCGCGCACACACAAGAAGGAGGAGGAGAAAGAAAAGAAGGAAGGAAGGGAGGGAGGAAGGAAGGAAGGAAGGAAAGAAGAGAGGAAAGAAGGAAGGAAGGAAGGAAGGAAAGAAGGAAGGAAAGAAGGAAGGAAGGAAGGAAGGAAAGAAGGAAGGAAAGGATGGACCAAGCAATCACCAGTCCTTCTACCAGCAACACTGGATGCTTGAGAAGCAAGTAAAAACATTTGGAATAAAAAGTATTTTAAGTGTAGAATTTAGTTTCCATTCAAAGTGTTCAATAAAGACTGAGAACAAAGCATAGAGTCATTCTCAGAAGTTCAATAACTCAAAGTTTAACACCCATAAATTCCAGACAAATTAAAATCTTTAATATAGCACACACTTGTTCCCAGCAGGGGTGAGATAAGCAAGACCAGATCCCCATCCCACGCCATCAGAAACAACTGGGAAAAATGGTCACACAATAACCCCTTTTTGTGTGTATGTGTGTGTGTGTGTGTGTGCATGTGTGTGCACAGATTATGGGAGTGCGGGAGCCCGAAAAGGATGCTGAGTGTCCTGCTCTATTGTTCTGTCTTATTTGCTTGAGACGATGCCTTTCATTGAGCGTGTGGTTTTCCTGGTAAGCTGGCTGCTAGCCTAGTGAGCCCCGGTTTTCCTCCGGTCTCCACCCCACTGCCACAGACCTGGGGGTGCAGGCCTAGTGTAGTCACATCTAGGTTTCACATGGTTTCTAGGGATGTGAACTCAGGTCCTCATGTCTGCAGAACAGGTACTTTAACCACTGGGTCGTTTCCTTGGCTCTATACAAGGGTTCTTAAGCCTCTGGACATGAAACAATGAAAGGCAGTGATCTCTGATCGAGGAGAAGTCAGACAGGTGACGCCAATGAGTGGCCCCTCTTGTCGCTTAGGGTTTTCTGCTGAACTGCAGCCACAGGGAATCCAAGAAGAAACAGCAAAAGCCGGAGCCGGCAGAGATGGCAGCAGCTGGAGTCTACAGGATGGATTTCTAGAAGAGAGGGAGGTGTGTGTGTGTGGGAGGAGAGTCCTCTACATGTTCAGGGCTTCTCTCAAGTATTCAGCGGAGCACTAAAAGCAGATGTGGGTGAAAACAACTGTAGATCATGGGTTCAACTAACCATAAGGAGCTCATGGAAGGCTAGAAATGATGCCAATTCCTGCTGGCTATACTGGAAAAAAATTGTCATTCATGGGGCACTAGGTAGACTATGCAATGTCTTATTTTAGTGCTAGAACAAAATTAGCCATACATGCAATACAATTTTGGACCCCACTAATGAGGCTAAAAGCAAGACCTGGGAAAAAAAAGCAAACCTTTTGCCAGGGACTTAGTTGCATCTCAGAACAAAACTCAAGGACATTTATATGAGCATAAAAGTATCCTGCATCCAAGAAAGTCACATTCACAGTGTCTGGCGTCTAATAAAAAAGCAAAACCATAAAGCAAATGAAAAAGTATCAAGTTTATAAAGAGAAAAATCAGCTGAAACTCCATAAGCTGGACATAAGATAATGGAAACAGTTGACTACAGCATTAGCAATAACCAAGGAGCATTTGACAATGCCTGATGACAACAAGCTACAACCTGGGAGTAGCTCCTGACACCAGGCAGGTAGAATCTATAGGCTATGTAAACATTCGACAGTGTACAGGATGACTTTACACAACAAGATAATATCTAGCTCAAATTCTCAAAATGAGGAGGTTGGGGGACCCTGGTCTTGAGTTCAAAATGAAATTTGAACTCATGGGAGACAAGAAAATGATATGGGTTGAACTTCCAAGTATGAA